TCCGAAATTTTATATAAGGGGATTGAGTATCCCTGGATTTTAGTATCTGCAGGGGTGGGGGTCCTGGAACCGATCCCCCAAGGATACTGAGGTATGACTGTATTATGATCCCTTTGCGGGTGCTGTTTGCTCATCTGTAACAAAGTGGGAAAAAATCCTCGCACTCAAAGGATTGTTAAGATAAGCAACGTAGGTTGCTATAAACATGCTTGCTAAGTGTTCCTCAGAACATAAATTGCTCCATAAAAGTCCCACTAACGATCCAGTGGCCTGGAAGAATCTAAGTTCAGTGTCCCAGCCTATACAGGTCCTTTTGTCATCAGGGAAGTAAATATCCTGGGCACTTCTGACCTCAGAGAAGTTATTTGTTTTTTAGGTAACTGGAGGGTAGAAAGAGGGAAGGGCAACAACTTCTGACAGATCCTTTTTTTTTAAACTTTATCTAGGGGTCTTACACTGAGAACTATGCCAGTCTGAGATGGGAGAACAGAATCCAAACGTCAGTATCAAACTACATATAAACAAGCTAATTGGCAATAATTAATACACCAGAATCACACTGATTTGAAAGGAGAGGCGGCAATCAATTCTCAACCCCTCTCCCTGTGATGCTAAGAAAATCTATGTACTCGATTAATTGGAGACCTCAAAATACTTCTAAGATGACTTTCTGAAAATGAGACTCCCTGGGCCTCTGCGTAGGTGGCCTGAGACACTCTCGCGACCAACAGACAGACCAGCTGCAGCTTCCCAAGGAGCTCCTTGACCTCAGATAAGTCTGTACTAGCCCTGCTGAGGTCCTAGCCCCCAAGCTCGAAAGAGTATTAGTGAGTCAAAGGTGGCTGGGATTCTTCTACCTTTCAGGGAGAAATGCCCAACAATGTGAGTTAGGACTGACAAAGTTACCCCAGAGCACCCCAGGAACTCACTGGACCTGGAGTAGGGAATGGAACAGGCTGGGGTGAGGTCTCAAACTACCTTGCTTCCCGAGACAGACTTCCTTAGAATTGGGGCTAACCTGGTTAGGGGATTGCTAAGGAGTCCAAAAACACTTCTGAACACAGAACAAAAGGTATCACTGTTGAGGACAGAGAGTTAAAACATTAGCTATAAATTTCACATGGCTGGTAAATGCCACCTGGAAATTTTGGAACAATTATTTGTTGAATCAACTCACAGACTGTAATTGTTCTTTTATATCATAAATGCCATTCCAGCGTTTCTCAAAATATGGTGAGAGGTTCCCTGACATCAGAATCACTTGTGGGTGCATGTTAAAGATGCAGATTCCTAAGTTCCACCCCAGATTTCTGAATCTAATCTTGGAGACTAGAGTCCAGCCCATGAACTGAATTTTTAAGGAGCAACCCAGTTGACTCAGGTGATCCATATCAAGGCAGAAGAATTATTGTGTCTACATAGTCCATCAGAAATGTAAAGACACAGATTAGGGATTAGAATATTTTCCCCCAATGTTTAAGTACCATAAAAATGAAAACAACACTTGTGATGAGTTCTTAAGAACCATTCCAGTATTTTCTACCCACATATAATAAACACAGTTATTAAAATATAATTATGAGCATAAAATTATTGGGTAAAATATCAACTGTGCTTCTCAAAAATATTGCCTTTATTTTGTCACCAAAAGTAATTATGCTGTTAAAGGAATTTATAGTTTTTTAAGTATCAGTCAGTTTGCTGCAGGAAATTAATAAGCTGTTACACTCCTCCCATACCCTTTTAGTCATCAGAAGTTTTGTGATAAAGGCTTTTATTCTTATTTTTTTAAACTATAAATTGTGAACCATTGCAACTAGTGATTAGGCTGAATATGAATTTATATTCAAGTTATAAATTCCTAAAAATACATTTCATTAGAATTACCAAGGCAGTCTAGAGCTAGTAGATTAAATAGCCTCTGTAATAAAGCTCTATTTACTTCTGTTAAGATTTTTTTTTTTTGGTGCAAAACAACTCAGTTTTAATGCATTCTCTTAAGAAGCAAAAGGAAACAGTTTCTGATATACATGCTACTGCAAAGCAGTAAACCAGTGTTGCATGGTTATGTGACAAGAACCACATTTCTTTTCCAGAGGGATTTTTTTCCCCCTTATATACTCCTCCTTCCCAAACCATGCCTATTAATTACTTCACAAAATACAGTTTGCCATTTCTGAAGAATCAAACACTCGTTTTCTCCCTCACCAAAAATCACACGTTCAGACTAAATTCTGAATGAAAATGGACTTGAGACGCAGGCTTTGTTTATAGCATGTTGTTTCTACTAAGGGTTGCCCCCTACCCACGTTCCACCCTAGTGCTCCCACTGAAGTGTACATGTTATGTTTTAACAGATGGGCCGGCTGGCGGCTGCTGGGCTATAAAACAGGAACTGGGAATCTTCTTGGAGTGGTATTGAACTGAATGCTCGTAAAGTTCATGGACATACACTGACTCAGACAGACTAGGAAGATCCAAACATGCTTATACACACACTCATCATACACCCCACAGATCAGAGGGTCCATCTCTCTACCCAGAGGAAGTTCAAGGCTGTTTCCCCCTCCGTATCTCTATTTCATTCACTTATCAATTTTATACACACACATATAAGTACACACATATGTAGGCACATCTACGTATGCATGCATAGCTATATATCTCAATGTTTTTATACATCCTCAAAGATCAAAATATTCCCCAATTCTGTTGCCAGGTATCTACCTAGTACTTTCAATAAGCTCTCATTCACATCAAATAAGAATTACAAGAAAATATTGCATTCAATTCTATTTAGTCCACACATAATATAAACTACATGTATGTAACTGCCCTCAAAAAAACAGCTCCTGTTACCCCTTACCAGTGAGAGAGAGAGAAAAAAATCTATCCCAGACTGAGTCACAAACATAAAGTGTCAGGTTTAACCTTGTATCCTCTGCTGTCAGTTCCTGTCACAACTTCATCACTTAAACACACAGGTGCTCAAACAAACACCAACCGACCAGCCTGGTGGTCGTTTTCACGGCCTCTTCTTGGATTCCCCGAGGCCTTCCTGCACTGGGACAGTCACCAGTTACCCCTGGTCCTAACGAAGTCCTTTGGACACACCTTGCAGGTGGATATGGAGGTCTGAGCACCTCATGAGGGATGTGGATTCAAGTGCTAATAAAAAGTAATTGCAAAGTTTAATATCCGCTTTGTCAATTCCTTTCAATAATTGCAAAGCTCTGAAGCCCCTGCTACAGAACTCGACTGGTCCTAAAGTTCTCTGACCCCTAAAGATGCACCCGGAGCCCGATGATCGCTGGCTCGGGCTACGCATCAGACACACACAGGACTATCTCGTCTCACCGACGCCGGCGCATTTAATTTTTCAGGAACCCGTCTTCAACCATCTAGGAATTTCTGTCTGCACGCCACTGGACTCGAAGGCCACCCCTAGCGCGCGTGTCACCGCTGCAGAGGGCCAGGGGACGCGTCCCCGAACCCCACCTAATGATGGCAATTACAACATGCCAAGTTCTTGCGAACGCAGAGCCGCGTCCCGGGCTGAGTTGAGACGCTTTGAAACAAGAAGTTCGGGAGTGGGGGTGCTGACAAGGAGTGAATCCCGTCAGTCCTGATCTCCCCACAGCCGACACGCTCGGACGGACAGATCGACGCGCGCCAGGACGCGTCCAGTCCCCTATTTGCCGAACAGCGCAAGAGGAGCCGCTCCCCTTGCGCGCGGCGACTCACCCTCGTCGACAAGTCCAGATGGCAAACCGATGCCCCTGCTGCGGGTCCTGAATCCCAAGTTGCCCCGAACCGGCGACAGCTCTCGCCCTAGCCCACCGGGGCACATTGGCTCCGGCAGGCACCTCGGAGGGAGCAGAAACCTGGCGGCCACCCCGGCTCAACAGCTGCCTGCAGCGCGCTGACAATTCACGGACCTGCTCAGCGAATGAGACGGACAGCAGGGCTGAAGCAACCGGGATCCGAAGGGAGGCGGGGCCGGGGCATGAGGGGCGGGGCGCTCTTCAACGCGTGACTGGCGGAGCCCGAAGCCAATCAGGGTGGCGCCCGGGTCTGGGGCGGCCGCGGGCGGTGCCGAGCGCCCGGCTCCGCCCCGCCGCCGCCGTCCAATGGCCGGCAGCCGAGGGCTGGCTGAGAGACGCGCCCACGGCTGGGAAGTTGGCTGAGGTGAGGAACCGGGGCTCTGGGCTGGCGCTGTGGGGGCGGCTGCGGTGGG